TTAATTGGCAATCGTTGCAGGTGACTTTTGTTGCATTGGAGAATAATTCAGTCATGGATTTAACCTGACAGCCGACAGAAACTGTTCCTACGCAGTATTCAGTTTTGGAGATGCCACTCTCGGGATCACGGGATTTCCATGATGCCTGTGGTTTTTCACCGGGTCCAAGCCACAGTCTAGAACCACGCAAAAGCTGAAAGAGATGAAAACGTGGTAAACCTTTCTTAATTGAACTTCACAGAGTGAAAAGGCGAGCGTTCAAATCTTTAAACTCTAAAAGGTGAGCTTAACAGAGAGAAGAGCCGGTAAAGCAGCATTAATCTTAGTGTACTAACTAACATTAATAAACTAAGGCACGATTTTATGGAACACGGAAATAAGATTCTCTAGAGGTTACATTTGCCCCGTCATTTTTCCAAAGCTCTTGCGCCTTTTCTCTGTGGCGTGAATTACCTAAGGTGGAAAGCTATAAAGGAAGAGGCTGTCTGTCTACTGTCCAATGGTAGACAGAGCGGGAGGGGGAGGAGAAAAGAGCGGGGCAAATAAGGTGCGTCTTGGAAAATCCTCAGATTGTATTAGGGAATTATCAGTTTTACCACCCTAATATTTCATACCTCAGTCAACTCAGGTGGCGAAATGTCAACAGTGAAACCATCAGACCACCCATGTGACGACATTCCCGCACCATTTGTAGCCTCCACCGTGACGTAATACCTCTCCCCGTGAGTAAGTGTGAGGTTTTCAGCCATTGCGGAAGTCATCGTGCCAACGTCCGTGAAGTTTAAGACGTCAGCATTATCTGGAGTGGTTCCTAGGCCCCAGCGGTATTTCACTACTCCACTCTCGTGGTCCCTGAATGGTTCCCATATTGCTTGTGCTGCCGTGGTTGAGGACTGGAACTGAATGTCAGAAAGGAGAGACGACCCATCGCGAACAAGACCAGAACTTGGCGGCGTCACGTCAACAGTAACACCATCAGAGGAAGACGTGCTACTGAAGCCATCGGCATTGGTGCAAGTAATTTCACTGATGTAACGAGCGCCTGGAACAAGGCTAAGATTTGTTTCAGTGCGGTTCCCTTGGCTTTTCACGGCTTTTCGCAACACAACAGTGTCATTTCCGAACTCGGAACTGTTATGTGACGCCGACTGTTCAATGAGTGCCCAGGAGCAGCTCGCAACTCCCGACTCTTCATCTTCAAAACCTTGCCACTGTGTCGACAGCAAATCCATAGAATCTGTAAAATCAATATCGAGGCCAATTCCATCTATTACAGTAACCCGGGACGGGGGCGTAATGTCGAATGTCAGTTTCTCGGACGACATGACTGATGTAAGACCAGCCCTGTTTACGACAACCACAGTGACGTAATATGCAGCTCGGGAATGAGGCTTAAATGGACCAATGACCCCGGATGTGGATGATCCTGCTGGTATGGCACCGCCCACACACGTAAGAGGGGTTGTTCCTATAACCACGTGTTGCGTGACGACCTCTGTTTTTATCGGAGGACTAGGATCTACAGTAAATCCATTTGAAATGCTCATAGTTTGAAGTCCACTAGCTGACGTTGCCTTTATAGTGTTGTAATACTTTTGACCAGCATTCAAGACGTCGAGACTCGGTGCGTTCGGTGCCAAGACCTTTTCAACACTTGTCTTCAGTCCTACACTAGCGAAAGGTAAAATGTCACCTTTTCCAGCAGCTGTGCCTATAGCCCACTCGTAGTCAATAACTGGATCTCCAATATCGTCTGTGAAGGGATCCCAATTGGCGCCAACTCTTTTAGTACTGGTCAGGTAGACAAGGTCAACATTTTCTGTTGAGCCATCTCGGACAGGAGCCGGAATGGGCCAGATGGATTCAACTCGAAAGCCATTGGATCGAGCAGTTCGGTGCAATTGTGCCTTATTCCAACACGTCAGTATGTTGTAGTAAGTTGTGTTGCTGGAAAATGGAAAGTCTCTGTATCGCTGAGAGTTGGAAAAGACGTTCCTTTGCCCGTAACTGGAGTTATTGCTTGTGTCAACTTGAAGACGTTTGCGTCCATCTTCGTCCTCTATTGTCCAAATACATGATCGCACGCCACTTTCAGCATCTTCCACGCCAAACCAAGACATGGATACGTTCCAATCCTCGAGTACAACGTTATAATCGACTCCTGCTATATCGTTTCCATCAATGACATCACCCATAAGCGGAGGACTGACATCCAAAAGCATTCCATCAGAACTGCGAGTCACAGAAATACCTGCTCCGTTTATCACACGCACTGTCACGTACACTCGCTCGCCGGGGTTCACATCACATGTTGTACAGGTGAATGATGTGTTGAGTCCAACGCTTGTCATCGCTCGTAACTGACAACCTCCAGGTTTAGTTCCAAGACAGTAGTAACTGTTCATGAGGCCGCTCTCAGGATCTGTTATCTCTTCCCAGTGCGCTGCGAAGCCCATTCTAGGGGAAAAGTAATCGATATCCTTCCCACTTCGCCCATCATGGACGCAGCCGTTTATAGCCTTTGGAGGCGTGGTGTCTATTACAAGTCCGAGCGAAGATATGTTTGTACTTAAACCCGCCAAGTTCGTTGCAATGACAGTGATGTAATATACACTTCCTTCTGAAAGACTGAGATCGTTCTTAGTTACCTGAGTTGCGAGACGTACGTTTTCAAACCTAACAACGTCGTCTTGATAAATTTGAGTTCCAATGGCAAACTGATAATTCTGGACATCGTTCTCGTGTTCCGCAAACGGTGGCCATGTGGCTGTAATGGAGTTCGTGTCTGACTGATACTGGAAGGCGAGATCTCGCGATACGCCTGCCATAATAGCACCAGTCTGAATGGGTGGTGTGTTATCGATGGTAAAAACTGCAGACGTCGACGCAGCAAGACCTGCATTGTTCATGCACTCTACGCTGGCATTATAACTCTCTCCATGAAGAAGAACAGTACTGGGAGACAAAGAGACATTTCCTGACGATGCATTTCGAGTTTCCAGAAAAAGAACATGTCCCGATTTGTCTAGAACTGAGATGTTGCAGCTGCGTATGCCACTTTCAAGATCTTTAAATCCACTCCACGAAAGAGTGATACTGTTGTTGCTGATAAACGTTATCCTTCTAATTACACTTGAGGTTTGTCCAACATAAACGTTTCCCGACTGCGGTGGAGTGCTGTCAAAGACCAGCGCATCAGAGCATGCGCGTGATACGAGACCAGCTCGGTTCCTGGATGTGACGGTGACGTAATATTTCACTCCTGATGTGAAGACTTGATCTGTCATTGTAGTGTTGGCGTAATTTGATCGGCCGATGTTGATGAGTGGTTGAACTTGTGTACCACACTTGCTTGTACCTATGGCCCACTTGTAGTACCAAACTTCACTCTCAGGTTCGGAGAATCGTTTCCAGTAAACTGCAATACTTGATGCAGTAGCAGAGTAGAAAGCATTCTCTTGCTCGCTGTATTGCCATTCACGTTGGGACCCAAATCCAGGATAGATTGTGCTTGGTATTGGCGGACTTGCATCTACTATGACACCATCTGAAACGAGCTCCCTGATTGCTCCAGCCTGATTTGTCACCATCAGATGCACGTAATATTTTGTTCCACTCACTAACTTAAGAACGTCTTGACTTCTCACATGTGTTGAAAGACCTGCATCGACGTAGTTCTGTACACTAATTTTGTCTTGCAAACTCGTGCCAATGCTCCACTCAAATTGCTCAATGCCACTCTCCAAATCCCAGATTCCTTCCCAGTTGGCGGCCATGCTTGTGAGGGAGGACTGGTACTTAAGATCTGGCTCGATAATCCCATCATGCACCACACCATGACTTGGAGGACTAAAATCGATCAGGACTCCATCGGAGCTCAGGCAGTTCCGTAATCCGGCTTTGTTTATACCACAGACGGTAAAGTAATAGACATCGTCAGTAAGCGACAGACCATGCACAGTGGCTGAGGTGTTCAGTCCAGCGTTCTGAAACGGAGAGACATCTACAAACCCTCCTCTATTTCTGCCTACTCCGTATTCATAATATTGAATGTCAGATTCGGGGTCCTCGAAACCATCCCATTCCGCGGACAATGCTGTGATATTGGCTTGATAATCGATGTCTGAACCTGTTGTTCCGTCACGCACTTGAGCCTTTCGTATATTTGGAGGTGTCACGTCCACGACGAAGCCATCGGAAGACACTTCAGAACTTGTCAGCCCAGCCTTGTTTTCAGCTTTGATCTTAATGCAGTAACGATGGCCGTTAACCAGTGTAATGTTTGTTAACATAAACGAAGTTGCTTTTGGAGGATCAAGTCGAACGAATCCATTTCCGGTTACATGATAGTTTCCGTTTATACAGCTTCCTACAGCATAATAGTACTGCTTAACTTCAGTGTGTGGCTCTGGGAACTTTGTCCAAGAACCATAAACTTCTTTCACGTCTGCCTGATAGTCGATATCTACTTGGGAGGTTGGCCCGTCAAATACATCTCCTGGTGACGATGGAGTGGCATCAGGTATAACAAGGACTGAATACGCGTCTTTCGACAATTTAGCAGCATTGTAGGCTCTTATAATGACGTAGTAACCTTTACCTTGAGTTAGCGCGAGATTACTGAATGTCGCGGATGTTGGCGTATTAGATCCTGGTACAGCACTAAAGTCAGAGGCTGATGGAGACGTGTCCGAAGGGATGATAGCCCAGTCATATCGTAGAAGTCCGCTGTGTGCATCAGAGAAACCAACCCACTGCACTGTTACTGACGATACACTTGATATGTAGACACATGATGTTCCGTTTATGAAGTCATCCTCTCCAGTTATCCTAACTTTACCAGTGAAGACTGGATGGGTTGTATCCACGGTAATGCCGTCAGAAGTGACGTCAGTGTTCAGACCCACAGCGTCAACCGCTTTTACTGTGACGAAATACCTTGCGTTATTTGTCAAAGCCAATCCGTTGTGTGNTAAATTAAATTAAGACAATAAACCGGGGAGAACTAAGGGTAGAAAATTCGTGTGTTAAGCACCACAAAATATGCCAAAGGCTAATTGCCGTAATTAGTTTTAGTTTTGTTTTTGTTCAGTTGTATAAACAGCATGTTCTGATTGGGCAGAGCATGTTGCGCGAGTTCGTTGATCCGATTGTAGAGCGCCACAAACGTCGTCACGCAACGCTTTTCCCGAGAGAAGCGTTGCGTGACTACCCTAATAACGGTAGCGAAGGAGACTACTTTAGACATGAACTGAAACTGTCTGATAGCAAGTAGATGTTTAGTTACCTTCGTGGGTGGAGTGTCATCAACTAACACTGGTATGGTAGACACTTTTTCTGTGACAAGTCCAACATTGTTCTCGCACCTCACAGCAGTGTAGTACCTTTCACCCGCCACCAACTGCAGATCTGTGGCTTCTACGGTTTTGCGCAGTCCATTATTTACAAAGTCGGTTACCAGATGGCTTCTGTTTCGTATAGCATAACTGCATGATTTTACACCACTCTCTCTGTCTTCGAAAAGGGTGACGTTGGAGACCAAAGTACAGTTGTTAACGCACGACGTGACGTCGCTAACTGGGATCACTTTGGCAACAATTGGAGGGGTTAAGTCCACTTTAATTTCGTCTGTTGTTTTCACCGTATAGACGCCCGCGCCGTTCTGTACTCGGACTGTGATGTAGTATGTTCCTTGGTGGTTTAATTGGCAATCGTTGCAGGTGACTTTTGTTGCATTGGAGAATAATTCAGTCATGGATTTAACCTGACAGCCGACAGAAACTGTTCCTACGCAGTATTCAGTTTTGGAGATGCCACTCTCGGGATCACGGGATTTCCATGATGCCTGTGGTTTTTCACCGGGTCCAAGCCACAGTCTAGAACCACGCAAAAGCTGAAAGAGATGAAAACGTGGTAAACCTTTCTTAATTGAACTTCACAGAGTGAAAAGGCGAGCGTTCAAATCTTTAAACTCTAAAAGGTGAGCTTAACAGAGAGAAGAGCCGGTAAAGCAGCATTAATCTTAGTGTACTAACTAACATTAATAAACTAAGGCACGATTTTATGGAACACGGAAATAAGATTCTCTGGAGGTTACATTTGCCCCGTCATTTTTCCAAAGCTCTTGCGCCTTTTCTCTGTGGCGTGAATTACCTAAGGTGGAAAGCTATAAAGGAAGAGGCTGTCTGTCTACTGTCCAATGGTAGACAGAGCGGGAGGGGGAGGAGAAAAGAGCGGGGCAAATAAGGTGCGTCTTGGAAAATCCTCAGATTGTATTAGGGAATTATCAGTTTTACCACCCTAATATTTCATACCTCAGTCAACTCAGGTGGCGAAATGTCAACAGTGAAACCATCAGACCACCCATGTGACGACATTCCCGCACCATTTGTAGCCTCCACCGTGACGTAATACCTCTCCCCGTGAGTAAGTGTGAGGTTTTCAGCCATTGCGGAAGTCATCGTGCCAACGTCCGTGAAGTTTAAGACGTCAGCATTATCTGGAGTGGTTCCTAGGCCCCAGCGGTATTTCACTACTCCACTCTCGTGGTCCCTGAATGGTTCCCATATTGCTTGTGCTGCCGTGGTTGAGGACTGGAACTGAATGTCAGAAAGTAGAGACGACCCATCGCGAACAAGACCAGAACTTGGCGGCGTCACGTCAACAGTAACACCATCAGAGGAAGACGTGCTACTGAAGCCATCGGCATTGGTGCAAGTAATTTCACTGATGTAACGAGCGCCTGGAACAAGGCTAAGATTTGTTTCAATGAGGTTCCCTTGGCTTTTCACGGCTTTTCGCAACACAACAGTGTCATTTCCGAACTCGGAACTGTTATGTGACGCCGACTGTTCAATGAGTGCCCACGAGCAGCTCGCAACTCCCGACTCTTCATCTTCAAAACCTTGCCACTGTGTCGACAGCAGATCCATAGAATCTGTAAAATCAATATCGAGGCCAATTCCATCTATTACAGTACCCCGGGACGGGGGCGTAATGTCGAATGTCAGTTTCTCGGACGACATGACTGATGTAAGACCAGCCCTGTTTACGACAACCACAGTGACGTAATATGCAGCTCGGGAATGAGGCTTAAATGGACCAATGACCCCGGATGTGGATGATCCTGCTGGTATGGCACCGCCCACACACGTAAGAGGGGTTGTTCCTAGACAGTATTCACTACTTTCTATACCACTTTCAAAATCTCTAACGTTGCTCCAAGAAGCGCGAATTTCGATGCGGCGTTCTTCCTGGTTCAAAACCACGTGTTGCGTGACGACCTCTGTTTTTATCGGAGGACTAGGATCTACAGTAAATCCATTTGAAATGCTCATAGTTTGAAGTCCACTAGCTGACGTTGCCTTTATAGTGTTGTAATACTTTTGACCAGCATTCAAGACGTCGAGACTCGGTGCGTTCGGTGCCAAGACCTTTTCAACACTTGTCTTCAGTCCTACACTAGCGAAAGGTAAAATGTCACCTTTTCCAGCAGCTGTGCCTATAGCCCACTCGTAGTCAATAACTGGATCTCCAATATCGTCTGTGAAGGGATCCCAATTGGCGCCAACTCTTTTAGTACTGGTCAGGTAGACAAGGTCAACATTTTCTGTTGAGCCATCTCGGACAGGAGCCGGAATGGGCCAGATGGATTCAACTCGAAAGCCATTGGATCGAGCAGTTCGGTGCAATTGTGCCTTATTCCAACACGTCAGTATGTTGTAGTAAGTTGTGTTGCTGGAAAATGGAAAGTCTCTGTATCGCTGAGAGTTGGAAAAGACGTTCCTTTGCCCGTAACTGGAGTTATTGCTTGTGTCAACTTGAAGACGTTTGCGTCCATCTTCGTCCTCTATTGTCCAAATACATGATCGCACGCCACTTTCAGCATCTTCCACGCCAAACCAAGACATGGATACGTTCCAATCCTCGAGTACAACGTTATAATCGACTCCTGCTATATCGTTTCCATCAATGACATCACCCATAAGCGGAGGACTGACATCCAAAAGCATTCCATCAGAACTGCGAGTCACAGAAATACCTGCTCCGTTTGTCACACGCACTGTCACGTACACTCGCTCGCCGGGGTTCACATCACATGTTGTACAGGTGAATGATGTGTTGAGTCCAACGCTTGTCATCGCTCGTAACTGACAACCTCCAGGTTTAGTTCCAAGACAGTAGTAACTGTTCATGAGGCCGCTCTCAGGATCTGTTATCTCTTCCCAGTGCGCTGCGAAGCCCATTCTAGGGGAAAAGTAATCGATATCCTTCCCACTTCGCCCATCATGGACGCAGCCGTTTATAGCCTTTGGAGGCGTGGTGTCTATTACAAGTCCGAGCGAAGATATGTTTGTACTTAAACCCGCCAAGTTCGTTGCAATGACAGTGATGTAATATACACTTCCTTCTGAAAGACTGAGATCGTTCTTAGTTACCTGAGTTGCGAGACGTACGTTTTCAAACCTAACAACGTCGTCTTGATAAATTTGAGTTCCAATGGCAAACTGATAATTCTGGACATCGTTCTCGTGTTCCGCAAACGGTGGCCATGTGGCTGTAATGGAGTTCGTGTCTGACTGATACTGGAAGGCGAGATCTCGCGATACGCCTGCCATAATAGCACCAGTCTGAATGGGTGGTGTGTTATCGATGGTAAAAACTGCAGACGTCGACGCAGCAAGACCTGCATTGTTCATGCACTCTACGCTGGCATTATAACTCTCTCCATGAAGAAGAACAGTACTGGGAGACAAAGAGACATTTCCTGACGATGCATTTCGAGTTTCCAGAAAAAGAACATGTCCCGATTTGTCTAGAACTGAGATGTTGCAGCTGCGTATGCCACTTTCAAGATCTTTAAATCCACTCCACGAAAGAGTGATACTGTTGTTGCTGATAAACGTTATCCTTCTAATTACACTTGAGGTTTGTCCAACATAAACGTTTCCCGACTGCGGTGGAGTGCTGTCAAAGACCAGCGCATCAGAGCATGCGCGTGATACGAGACCAGCTCGGTTCCTGGATGTGACGGTGACGTAATATTTCACTCCTGATGTGAAGACTTGATCTGTCATTGTAGTGTTGGCGTAATTTGATCGGCCGATGTTGATGAGTGGTTGAACTTGTGTACCACACTTGCTTGTACCTATGGCCCACTTGTAGTACCAAACTTCACTCTCAGGTTCGGAGAATCGTTTCCAGTAAACTGCAATACTTGATGCAGTAGCAGAGTAGAAAGCATTCTCTTGCTCGCTGTACTGCCATTCACGTTGGGACCCAAATCCAGGATAGATTGTGCTTGGTATTGGCGGACTTGCATCTACTATGACACCATCTGAAACGAGCTCCCTGATTGCTCCAGCCTGATTTGTCACCATCAGATGCACGTAATATTTTGTTCCACTCACTAACTTAAGAACGTCTTGACTTCTCACATGTGTTGAAAGACCTGCATCAACGTAGTCCTGTACACTAATTTTGTCTTGCAAATTCGTGCCAATGCTCCACTCAAATTGCTCAATGGCACTCTCCAAATCCCAGATTCCTTCCCAGTTGGCGGCCATGCTTGTGAGGGAGGACTGGTACTTAAGATCTGGCTCGATAATCCCATCATGCACCGCACCATGACTTGGAGGACTAAAATCGATCAGGACTCCATCGGAGCTCAGGCAGTTCCGTAATCCGGCTTTGTTTATAGCACAGACGGTAAAGTAATAGACATCGTCAGTAAGCGACAGACCATGCACAGTGGCTGAGGTGTTCAGTCCAGCGTTCTGAAACGGAGAGACATCTACAAACCCTCCTCTATTTCTGCCTACTCCGTAGTCATAATATTGAATGTCAGATTCGGGGTCCTCGAAACCATCCCATTCCGCGGACAATGCTGTGATATTGGCTTGATAATCGATGTCTGAACCTGTTGTTCCGTCACGCACTTGAGCCTTTCGTATATTTGGAGGTGTCACGTCCACGACGAAGCCATCGGAAGACACTTCAGAACTTGTCAGCCCAGCCTTGTTTTCAGCTTTGATCTTAATGCAGTAACGATGGCCGTTAACCAGTGTAATGTTTGTTAACATAAACGAAGTTGCTTTTGGAGGATCAAGTCGAACGAATCCATTTCCGGTTACATGATAGTTTCCGTTTATACAGCTTCCTACAGCATAATAGTACTGCTTAACTTCAGTGTGTGGCTCTGGGAACTTTGTCCAAGAACCATAAACTTCTTTCACGTCTGCCTGATAGTCGATATCTACTTGGGAGGTTGGCCCGTCAAATACATCTCCTGGTGACGATGGAGTGGCATCAGGTATAACAAGGACTGAATACGCGTCTTTCGACAATTTAGCACCATTGTAGGCTCTTATAATGACGTAGTAACCTTTACCTTGAGTTAGCGCGAGATTACTGAATGTCGCGGATGTTGGCGTATTAGATCCTGGTACAGCACTAAAGTCAGAGGCTGATGGAGACGTGTCCGAAGGGATGATAGCCCAGTCATATCGTAGAAGTCCGCTGTGTGCATCAGAGAAACCAACCCACTGCACTGTTACTGACGATACACTTGATATGTAGACACATGATGTTCCGTTTATGAAGTCATCCTCTCCAGTTATCCTGACTTTACCAGTGAAGACTGGATGGGTTGTATCCACGGTAATGCCGTCAGAAGTGACGTCAGTGTTCAGACCCACAGCGTCAACCGCTTTTACTGTGACGAAATACTTTGCGTTATTTGTCAAAGCCAATCCGTTGTGTGTGATGTTCGTTACATTCCCTGCTGATGTCCAAGGAACAATTATGTTTCCACTGCTGTCTGATATCTTGTACTTGTATTCTGCGATTCCACTTCCTTTGTTCCCGTCTGTGAATCCATTCCAGTTCGCTGCTATCATGGTGTCTTCTGATTGGTAGTCTACATCACTGAAGTGTCCATCGTTAACAGTGCCAGCTTGTGGAGCATCATGGTCTATTAGCACACAGTCTGAACTTACTTGAGTGTAGAGTCCAGCTTCGTTATAACCTCTGACGACTGCGCAGTAGCTTTCATTAGAAACTAGGGTTAGGTTTGTTGCTGTAGGAGAGCGGTTTAGTGCTGTGTTCTTAAATGAAGTAATGAGTCCGGTACCTTGCCGCTGCACCGCCCAAGTGTATCGTGAAATGGGTGAATGTGGATCAGTGAAACGGTCCCAGTTTGCACTGAATGTATTGGTCCATTTGGCATATTTCACGTCTGCGCTAAGTTGATTCCCATCGTATATCTTCCCAGCTATTGGTGGTGAGGTGTCAATGACAACACCATCACTTGTGAGGTCAGAAAACAATCCTGCTTTCGTGAAGGAACGAACGACAAATCTTGCTTTAGAGCCATCTGTCACGCTGTTGAAGGTCTTCCCTGCGTTAGTGTTTAGATTTACGTTGGTAAAAGACATTAGCTCGGTGGTTTGATTGGTGTTAAACGAAGTAAGGAGCACTTTCCATTGATACTTGGCAACACCATGTCTTGTCTGTACTCCTCCCCAGTTCACCTGTAATAATTTGGAGGCTTGGTAACTCTGGTCAGCTCCAGGCCCATCGCGAACCCACCCACCATGTGGTTTTGATGTGTCAATGATTACTACGCCGCTGCAGACAACTTGAGGAGTGTTGTTTCGCATATCAGAAGCTTGTATGGAAACTTTGTATCCTTTATTGTCCTGAAGAGTAATCCCGGTCAGTTTTTGCTGTACGTTGTTGTTAGGAAACGTACCCTTTACGCCAGAGGTAGTGGAACAAGTGGATGTTGATGGCAGAAGAAACCAATTAAGCGTTAGCTGGCCACACGAGACGGAAAACCCAGAGATTTTAACGTAAAGTTTGTCTGTAAAGTACTGATAGCTCACGACTGAATTAAACGTCTGATCCACTAATTGAGCAGTCCCGGTTGTAACTGTAATCTTGTCTTCCACTGAACCGGGACATGTTCCAAGGCTTCCGTCACACCTGTAAATAACGAGTCCATTACAGAATATGTTATGCTAGAATATGTTTAACCAGCGTTATTTTTTTTCCAGTGGTATTCATAGAATTTGGGAACGTGACAGAATGGTTACATTGAATCTTGGAAGTTTTAATATTTGTAGCACTCGCAACTGAAAATCCCACACTTCCTCTCTTTTTAAGTCTATAAAATGCAGTTATTCCTACATTAATACTATGTGATGGAGACTAAATAACTGGGCGAAACGCCTTTTGTTAAGATAAATAGTTCATGCAAAGCTCTTAGGAACGGTTTTTGTTTTAACGTTTTGTGATTGACGAAAAAAGTCGAGATTAAATTATCATTATCCACCTTTCGGGTTGATCACAGACGTCCACAGCCGAGCGACAAATTGTTCCACTTGACCTCATGATTGGTCGACAAGTTCCATCACCAACACACTCAGAAGTCCTGATACAACTGGATGAAGGATAAGATGATTGACAAGAGTAGCCTTGTCCTACACAACTGTCAAAACATTAAAAGAAGATTTTTGATTAGGCTTGTACAGTGCTCAGCTATTAGAACCAATAAAAGTTACACGTATACATATCTTGGTACAGGTGATCGAAGCGGCAAGATAGAATTGCATAACTTGTTTCACTATGTTCTTCCAAAACAGCTTTCATAATGTTTCAGACAACTTTACCAACATTCCAAAGACAATGTTTATCTTATTTCATAACCTGCTAACCTACTAATACTCGTCTGGTTTTGACGATAAATAGCACTCTTTTGAACTTGGTCATCTAGGGTGCTTACCATTTACAAAAACCATCCGGTTGGAAATTTCAGGCATAAACATTAAACAATTGAATACCACGTTGCGGGAGAGGGAATCGGTATAAAGTATATCCACATCAGCTAGAGAGACTTAAAACAGCAGAAAAATAGCATCACCTCAAATCACAGCCCATATTTTCTGAAGTTTCCCAAACGGAATGGCGCGAACCATTTGATTTTCCAACTGGAATTTCCGGTTTTCCCATGTAAATGGTAAGTGCCCCTAGTGTGGTTAGCTCTTGAATGTGAGACGCTTCGTGAGAGCAATAATGCAATATCGGTGACTAAGAAAATACTGTTTTGTGTGAACAACACAGAGTTTTCGAGTAAAGAAATAGAAACTTATTTTCCGAGAAATAGAAACTTAAACAAAACAAAACAAGGTCGCTCTGTAAGTTTTAAACAGNTTAATTGGCAATCGTTGCAGGTGACTTTTGTTGCATTGGAGAATAATTCAGTCATGGATTTAACCTGACAGCCGACAGAAACTGTTCCTACGCAGTATTCAGTTTTGGAGATGCCACTCTCGGGATCACGGGATTTCCATGATGCCTGTGGTTTTTCACCGGGTCCAAGCCACAGTCTAGAACCACGCAAAAGCTGAAAGAGATGAAAACGTGGTAAACCTTTCTTAATTGAACTTCACAGAGTGAAAAGGCGAGCGTTCAAATCTTTAAACTCTAAAAGGTGAGCTTAACAGAGAGAAGAGCCGGTAAAGCAGCATTAATCTTAGTGTACTAACTAACATTAATAAACTAAGGCACGATTTTATGGAACACGGAAATAAGATTCTCTGGAGGTTACATTTGCCCCGTCATTTTTCCAAAGCTCTTGCGCCTTTTCTCTGTGGCGTGAATTACCTAAGGTGGAAAGCTATAAAGGAAGAGGCTGTCTGTCTACTGTCCAATGGTAGACAGAGCGGGAGGGGGAGGAGAAAAGAGCGGGGCAAATAAGGTGCGTCTTGGAAAATCCTCAGATTGTATTAGGGAATTATCAGTTTTACCACCCTAATATTTCATACCTCAGTCAACTCAGGTGGCGAAATGTCAACAGTGAAACCATCAGACCACCCATGTGACGACATTCCCGCACCATTTGTAGCCTCCACCGTGACGTAATACCTCTCCCCGTGAGTAAGTGTGAGGTTTTCAGCCATTGCGGAAGTCATCGTGCCAACGTCCGTGAAGTTTAAGACGTCAGCATTATCTGGAGTGGTTCCTAGGCCCCAGCGGTATTTCACTACTCCACTCTCGTGGTCCCTGAATGGTTCCCATATTGCTTGTGCTGCCGTGGTTGAGGACTGGAACTGAATGTCAGAAAGTAGAGACGACCCATCGCGAACAAGACCAGAACTTGGCGGCGTCACGTCAACAGTAACACCATCAGAGGAAGACGTGCTACTGAAGCCATCGGCATTGGTGCAAGTAATTTCACTGATGTAACGAGCGCCTGGAACAAGGCTAAGATTTGTTTCAATGAGGTTCCCTTGGCTTTTCACGGCTTTTCGCAACACAACAGTGTCATTTCCGAACTCGGAACTGTTATGTGACGCCGACTGTTCAATGAGTGCCCACGAGCAGCTCGCAACTCCCGACTCTTCATCTTCAAAACCTTGCCACTGTGTCGACAGCAGATCCATAGAATCTGTAAAATCAATATCGAGGCCAATTCCATCTATTACAGTACCCCGGGACGGGGGCGTAATGTCGAATGTCAGTTTCTCGGACGACATGACTGATGTAAGACCAGCCCTGTTTACGACAACCACAGTGACGTAATATGCAGCTCGGGAATGAGGCTTAAATGGACCAATGACCCCGGATGTGGATGATCCTGCTGGTATGGCACCGCCCACACACGTAAGAGGGGTTGTTCCTAGACAGTATTCACTACTTTCTATACCACTTTCAAAATCTCTAACGTTGCTCCAAGAAGCGCGAATTTCGATGCGGCGTTCTTCCTGGTTCAAAACCACGTGTTGCGTGACGACCTCTGTTTTTATCGGAGGACTAGGATCTACAGTAAATCCATTTGAAATGCTCATAGTTTGAAGTCCACTAGCTGACGTTGCCTTTATAGTGTTGTAATACTTTTGACCAGCATTCAAGACGTCGAGACTCGGTGCGTTCGGTGCCAAGACCTTTTCAACACTTGTCTTCAGTCCTACACTAGCGAAAGGTAAAATGTCACCTTTTCCAGCAGCTGTGCCTATAGCCCACTCGTAGTCAATAACTGGATCTCCAATATCGTCTGTGAAGGGATCCCAATTGGCGCCAACTCTTTTAGTACTGGTCAGGTAGACAAGGTCAACATTTTCTGTTGAGCCATCTCGGACAGGAGCCGGAATGGGCCAGATGGATTCAACTCGAAAGCCATTGGATCGAGCAGTTCGGTGCAATTGTGCCTTATTCCAACACGTCAGTATGTTGTAGTAAGTTGTGTTGCTGGAAAATGGAAAGTCTCTGTATCGCTGAGAGTTGGAAAAGACGTTCCTTTGCCCGTAACTGGAGTTATTGCTTGTGTCAACTTGAAGACGTTTGCGTCCATCTTCGTCCTCTATTGTCCAAATACATGATCGCACGCCACTTTCAGCATCTTCCACGCCAAACCAAGACATGGATACGTTCCAATCCTCGAGTACAACGTTATAATCGACTCCTGCTATATCGTTTCCATCAATGACATCACCCATAAGCGGAGGACTGACATCCAAAAGCATTCCATCAGAACTGCGAGTCACAGAAATACCTGCTCCGTTTGTCACACGCACTGTCACGTACACTCGCTCGCCGGGGTTCACATCACATGTTGTACAGGTGAATGATGTGTTGAGTCCAACGCTTGTCATCGCTCGTAACTGACAACCTCCAGGTTTAGTTCCAAGACAGTAGTAACTGTTCATGAGGCCGCTCTCAGGATCTGTTATCTCTTCCCAGTGCGCTGCGAAGCCCATTCTAGGGGAAAAGTAATCGATATCCTTCCCACTTCGCCCATCATGGACGCAGCCGTTTATAGCCTTTGGAGGCGTGGTGTCTATTACAAGTCCGAGCGAAGATATGTTTGTACTTAAACCCGCCAAGTTCGTTGCAATGACAGTGATGTAATATACACTTCCTTCTGAAAGACTGAGATCGTTCTTAGTTACCTGAGTTGCGAGACGTACGTTTTCAAACCTAACAACGTCGTCTTGATAAATTTGAGTTCCAATGGCAAACTGATAATTCTGGACATCGTTCTCGTGTTCCGCAAACGGTGGCCATGTGGCTGTAATGGAGTTCGTGTCTGACTGATACTGGAAGGCGAGATCTCGCGATACGCCTGCCATAATAGCACCAGTCTGAATGGGTGGTGTGTTATCGATGGTAAAAACTGCAGACGTCGACGCAGCAAGACCTGCATTGTTCATGCACTCTACGCTGGCATTATAACTCTCTCCATGAAGAAGAACAGTACTGGGAGACAAAGAGACATTTCCTGACGATGCATTTCGAGTTTCCAGAAAAAGAACATGTCCCGATTTGTCTAGAACTGAGATGTTGCAGCTGCGTATGCCACTTTCAAGATCTTTAAATCCACTCCACGAAAGAGTGATACTGTTGTTGCTGATAAACGTTATCCTTCTAATTACACTTGAGGTTTGTCCAACATAAACGTTTCCCGACTGCGGTGGAGTGCTGTCAAAGACCAGCGCATCAGAGCATGCGCGTGATACGAGACCAGCTCGGTTCCTGGATGTGACGGTGACGTAATATTTCACTCCTGATGTGAAGACTTGATCTGTCATTGTAGTGTTGGCGTAATTTGATCGGCCGATGTTGATGAGTGGTTGAACTTGTGTACCACACTTGCTTGTACCTATGGCCCACTTGTAGTACCAAACTTCACTCTCAGGTTCGGAGAATCGTTTCCAGTAAACTGCAATACTTGATGCAGTAGCAGAGTAGAAAGCATTCTCTTGCTCGCTGTACTGCCATTCACGTTGGGACCCAAATCCAGGATAGATTGTGCTTGGTATTGGCGGACTTGCATCTACTATGACACCATCTGAAACGAGCTCCCTGATTGCTCCAGCCTGATTTGTCACCATCAGATGCACGTAATATTTTGTTCCACTCACTAACTTAAGAACGTCTTGACTTCTCACATGTGTTGAAAGACCTGCATCAACGTAGTCCTGTACACTAATTTTGTCTTGCAAATTCGTGCCAATGCTCCACTCAAATTGCTCAATGGCACTCTCCAAATCCCAGATTCCTTCCCAGTTGGCGGCCATGCTTGTGAGGGAGGACTGGTACTTAAGATCTGGCTCGATAATCCCATCATGCACCGCACCATGACTTGGAGGACTAAAATCGATCAGGACTCCATCGGAGCTCAGGCAGTTCCGTAATCCGGCTTTGTTTATAGCACAGACGGTAAAGTAATAGACATCGTCAGTAAGCGACAGACCATGCACAGTGGCTGAGGTGTTCAGTCCAGCGTTCTGAAACGGAGAGACATCTACAAACCCTCCTCTATTTCTGCCTACTCCGTAGTCATAATATTGAATGTCAGATTCGGGGTCCTCGAAACCATCCCATTCCGCGGACAATGCTGTGATATTGGCTTGATAATCGATGTCTGAACCTGTTGTTCCGTCACGCACTTGAGCCTTTCGTATATTTGGAGGTGTCACGTCCACGACGAAGCCATCGGAAGACACTTCAGAACTTGTCAGCCCAGCCTTGTTTTCAGCTTTGATCTTAATGCAGTAACGATGGCCGTTAACCAGTGTAATGTTTGTTAACATAAACGAAGTTGCTTTTGGAGGATCAAGTCGAACGAATCCATTTCCGGTTACATGATAGTTTCCGTTTATACAGCTTCCTACAGCATAATAGTACTGCTTAACTTCAGTGTGTGGCTCTGGGAACTTTGTCCAAGAACCATAAACTTCTTTCACGTCTGCCTGATAGTCGATATCTACTTGGGAGGTTGGCCCGTCAAATACATCTCCTGGTGACGATGGAGTGGCATCAGGTATAACAAGGACTGAATACGCGTCTTTCGACAATTTAGCACCATTGTAGGCTCTTATAATGACGTAGTAACCTTTACCTTGAGTTAGCGCGAGATTACTGAATGTCGCGGATGTTGGCGTATTAGATCCTGGTACAGCACTAAAGTCAGAGGCTGATGGAGACGTGTCCGAAGGGATGATAGCCCAGTCATATCGTAGAAGTCCGCTGTGTGCATCAGAGAAACCAACCCACTGCACTGTTACTGACGATACACTTGATATGTAGACACATGATGTTCCGTTTATGAAGTCATCCTCTCCAGTTATCCTGACTTTACCAGTGAAGACTGGATGGGTTGTATCCACGGTAATGCCGTCAGAAGTGACGTCAGTGTTCAGACCCACAGCGTCAACCGCTTTTACTGTGACGAAATACTTTGCGTTATTTGTCAAAGCCAATCCGTTGTGTGTGATGTTCGTTACATTCCCTGCTGATGTCCAAGGAACAATTATGTTTCCACTGCTGTCTGATATCTTGTACTTGTATTCTGCGATTCCACTTCCTTTGTTCCCGTCTGTGAATCCATTCCAGTTCGCTGCTATCATGGTGTCTTCTGATTGGTAGTCTACATCACTGAAGTGTCCATCGTTAACAGTGCCAGCTTGTGGAGCATCATGGTCTATTAGCACACAGTCTGAACTTACTTGAGTGTAGAGTCCAGCTTCGTTATAACCTCTGACGACTGCGCAGTAGCTTTCATTAGAAACTAGGGTTAGGTTTGTTGCTGTAGGAGAGCGGTTTAGTGCTGTGTTCTTAAATGAAGTAATGAGTCCGGTACCTTGCCGCTGCACCGCCCAAGTGTATCGTGAAATGGGTGAATGTGGATCAGTGAAACGGTCCCAGTTTGCACTGAATGTATTGGTCCATTTGGCATATTTCACGTCTGCGCTAAGTTGATTCCCATCGTATATCTTCCCAGCTATTGGTGGTGAGGTGTCAATGACAACACCATCACTTGTGAGGTCAGAAAACAATCCTGCTTTCGTGAAGGAACGAACGACAAATCTTGCTTTAGAGCCATCTGTCACGCTGTTGAAGGTCTTCCCTGCGTTAGTGTTTAGATTTACGTTGGTAAAAGACATTAGCTCGGTGGTTTGATTGGTGTTAAACGAAGTAAGGAGCACTTTCCATTGATACTTGGCAACACCATGTCTTGTCTGTACTCCTCCCCAGTTCACCTGTAATAATTTGGAGGCTTGGTAACTCTGGTCAGCTCCAGGCCCATCGCGAACCCACCCACCATGTGGTTTTGATGTGTCAATGATTACTACGCCGCTGCAGACAACTTGAGGAGTGTTGTTTCGCATATCAGAAGCTTGTATGGAAACTTTGTATCCTTTATTGTCCTGAAGAGTAATCCCGGTCAGTTTTTGCTGTACGTTGTTGTTAGGAAACGTACCCTTTACGCCAGAGGTAGTGGAACAAGTGGATGTTGATGGCAGAAGAAACCAATTAAGCGTTAGCTGGCCACACGAGACGGAAAACCCAGAGATTTTAACGTAAAGTTTGTCTGTAAAGTACTGATAGCTCACGACTGAATTAAACGTCTGATCCACTAATTGAGCAGTCCCGGTTGTAACTGTAATCTTGTCTTCCACTGAACCGGGACATGTTCCAAGGCTTCCGTCACACCTGTAAATAACGAGTCCATTACAGAATATGTTATGCTAGAATATGTTTAACCAGCGTTATTTTTTTTCCAGTGGTATTCATAGAATTTGGGAACGTGACAGAATGGTTACATTGAATCTTGGAAGTTTTAATATTTGTAGCACTCGCAACTGAAAATCCCACACTTCCTCTCTTTTTAAGTCTATAAAATGCAGTTATTCCTACATTAATACTATGTGATGGAGACTAAATAACTGGGCGAAACGCCTTTTGTTAAGATAAATAGTTCATGCAAAGCTCTTAGGAACGGTTTTTGTTTTAACGTTTTGTGATTGACGAAAAAAGTCGAGATTAAATTATCATTATCCACCTTTCGGGTTGATCACAGACGTCCACAGCCGAGCGACAAATTGTTCCACTTGACCTCATGATTGGTCGACAAGTTCCATCACCAACACACTCAGAAGTCCTGATACAACTGGATGAAGGATAAGATGATTGACAAGAGTAGCCTTGTCCTACACAACTGTCAAAACATTAAAAGAAGATTTTTGATTAGGCTTGTACAGTGCTCAGCTGTTACAACCAATAAAAGTTACCCGTATACATATCTTGGTACAGGTGAAGCGGCAAGATAGAATTGCATAACTTGTTTCACTGTGTTCTTCCAAAACAGCTTTCATAATGTTTCAGACAACTTTACTAACATTCCAAAGACAATGTTTATCTTATTTCATAAACAGCTAACCTACTAATACTCGTCTGGTTTTGACGATAAACAGCACTCTTTTGAGCTTGGTCATCTAGTGTGGTTAGCTCTTGAATGTGAGATGCTTCGTGAGAGCAATAATGCAATATCGGTGACTATGAAAATACTGTTTTGTGTGAACAACATAGAGTTTTCGAGTAAAGAAACAGAAACTTATTTTCCGAGAAATAGAAACTTAAACAAAACAAAACAAGGTCGCTCTGTAAGTTTTAAACAGATTAACTTATATGTTCGTTGATGGACATTATCCGCCCCCTGAGACTCAAGAAATAATATTCGCAGAAAAGAACAAATATTCGTAGTTCTTTCGCAAATGAGCTTCGAAATATTCAGGTAAATGTCCCTCGACTAACATAAAGAAACTGTTCGTTTCTTTTGTAATGATGCGGTATTTACCTGCCAGCGTTACATGTATCCTGTTTGGTGCACTTGTTTTGATCGTCACACGCCGCTGCAGGACGATTAGTCCATGCGCTGTTACCACGAGCTGCTGCATCATAAAAATCACACCACTGACACTGGTTTGATGGGTTTAAGTCCTGATGACCATAGTCTTGACCTAAACAGCGAGAATAAATTAATTGAGTTAGCACCTGATTTTTCGTACTGCGGACTTAGTCACGTTTAGGAGACGTTAGTGATGAAATCGAAGAACGAAGGTGCGTGTAAGACTCCAAGTTTTAATTCCTGACCTTTCGCTTCAGAATTTCACAACGAAATATCATAAGCCTTAATTCTTGATTCTACGCACCGTGTCCCGAATTTCGCGAACTTCGCGAACTAACTAACATACCAACTAACAGAAAAACAGTAAAGTCAAAAATACTTGTTCAAAGAATGTCACGCGCACGCGAAACTTGTTACATTAGTCGAATTTTAGTTGAGTTAGTGAAATTTACATTTAAAAGTTGGATGAACTTGAATAAAAAAGAGAGTTTAATATTGAGCACTCGCGGGCCTGTTCAAATTGGGAAACACTGAAAATTGTGCCACTACATCACAACTTCTGATTTTGCACCCACCTGCTATCTTACATGTGCATTTGTTGTTCACAAATCCAAATCCTGTTTTTAAGCTACAGCTGTTGCCATTACAGAACTGGCAAACGGAGTTACAAGTGAAGGGTGTAGCTACACACTGGCCACTCGAACACGTGTCTCCACGGGTGCATTTGTTGCC